CGTCTGCTCCTAGGCGGAAGCGCGACAGGCAACTCTGCACGCTGCCTCTGCCCTCAGGCGCTGCCCCTGCAGCTCCCATTGGCCAGGCAGCACTTGGGGCGGGGCTGGGGCAGCGCACAGAGCTGCTTGCCGTGCCTCCACCTAGGAGCAGCTGGGACAGGTCACCGCTTGCGGGGAGCCGCCTGAAGTGAGTGCTCCCCATATCTGGTACCCCGTGGCCCCTCCCATCCCCCAACTCCCTGCCCCAAGCCTTCTCCTGCACCCAAACTCCCTCTCAGGGTCTGCGCCATGCACACACCCTCCCGCGCCCCAACCCCCAGCCATGCGCCCAAACTCCCTCCCTCTTAGTTAACTGTCATTTTTCACTTACCAGCATCCTCCATTCCCCTAACATGCCGGATAAAACAGCTTTTAATGTATCTCCTAATACGAACCCACCTGAAGGAATGCTTTCCCCCCTTTTGCCCTGATCTTCTTGTCACGTAAGATTCCCAGCTGAGAAAACACTTTGCACCAAAAAATCTAAACCCAGAAAACGGTGTAAATGCCAGGGCTCACCTTGCAGGCACTGACTAACGGGACATTCTCTTCAAAGGTATTTTATCGATAGAGCGCCTAGCACAACGAGACCTGGTCTATGACTTAGGGCCCCTAGGTGCTGCCACAATGCAGACAGTAATAAAACCAAATTCCCTAAATACATAATACAGGCAGCGCCTCTAGATGAGGAAAGACTCCCTGGCACACATGGGTCAAGGTAAGAAGAAGGAGGAGGAGTGAGATGGGGCCCTAAGGAACCAGGTTCCATGGTTACACTGGAGAGGACTGCATGAGGAGGTTCTAGGCCGGGGAGAAGCAGCATGAGTGGAACGCGCCAAGTAAGAGGGAAGAGGGTCACCTGTCCACAGTGAGCTGCTCCTGCCCCATCATGAACTGGAGATTGTCAATGACCACGTGGCTGATATCATACATGTACACTGCGTGCAGCATGGTCTCTATCACCGTCCTGAGGGGGAAAGGAGAAGAAGGTGCCTCAGTCACACGCATTCAGCCCAGGCAAATGAGGCACCAGAGAAGCTGGTTCCTGTGAAGGTGAGAGGAGGAATGAAGGGATTGTGGTTGGAGCATGGGACGGGGACTCTGAAGAGCAATTCCTAGCTGTGCCACTGACTCACTGCAAGACCTTGGGCAAGTCACCACCTCAGCCTACCGGCTACACAAGGGGTTTGCACCCTGATCTACAGGCTGGGCCGTGTGGTTAATTAAATCGACACTCACAAGGTGCTTTGGACAGAAGGCATCACAGACACACTTTTGGCTGTAAGATGCCAAACGAAAGGCCTGATCCTTCCTCGTCTGTAATGCTGCTGCTGTTCTCTTCCCCCAGAGGCAAAGGTGTGTTCCCTCAAGTGACCTGCAGCAGACGGCAGGCATTTGCGGCATTAGGTACCAAATGGCTCTGGTGATTCCATCCAGCCCATCTAAGCGCCCCAGATCACAGTCTGCATAGCAACACAGGACCCTCCAGGTCCCTCTCGGAGGTGTGGTCCAGTGGACTGGGCACAAGACTTGGAGTCAAGAACTGCCTAGTTCTAACCCGACTCTACTGGCAGCTCTTGTGTGATCCTGGGGAACTCCCTTCACCTCCCTGTGCCCCTGTCTGCCCCACAGCACGTTATATTAATACGAAATATTCTGGGGGCAGATCACTGCCGCCATGGTGAATGTGATGCAAAGGTCTCACGAGTGTGGATGTGCAAGAGCGGGGCTGCTGGCAGATACGTTACTTGATGCTTTGGTGCCCATGGAAGGTCATGAAGTAGAGTGGCAGGTCCTCAAACTTGTCTGCCCACTCGTCGAACTGGTCCAGTTGCTCCTCCAGCCGCCTGACCGCAAACTGGGTCAGCATGATCTTGGCCAGGCGCACGTTGTTAATCTCAAAACTTCCCCACAGGGTGTTCACCCCCTGCATGCAGAGGTCCAGGGCATACTCGCTGATAAAGGTAGTTTTCCCACTGCCCGTCGGGCCTGTTTCAATGGAAATAGGTTCAATGAGAGCTAGAACTGACAGGCTCTCCTGCCTTGCCAGCCAGAGAATGCTGCAGGGGGTTGAACATCAGGAAACTCTTCCTAATAGAGACTAGGACAAGGGAAGAACCTCCCTAGTTGAGAGCCACTTATCTGGGGTGGAGAAGTCACTGGGGAATATACTGCAGGGCCCAGCCCTCCACTGGTCAAGGACTCAATGAGACCCAACAGGTCTTTTCTGTCTCTAATGCTGAAGGGCCAGATTCTGTGCTGAGTTACGTACACCCTCACAAGAGGGTTCTCCAGATGAAACCAGTGATGCGGGACTAGCGTACGACCTCTCGTGACCATGCCCGCAGTAACAGGCGGGCTAGATGCACAGGGAATTTACACCTCACTTAAAGCAGCCTGGAAAAAAGAAACTGAGCCACGTTTACCTGGATGGACTTCAACAGGATCAACTGAGCCCAAGAGTCCTTCAGAAACTTCTGCAGGTATCTTACATTTTCCAGTGGGGGCGGGAACAAGAGGGAATATAATTTCTAAATCCAATGGTATGAAAAGAGGCTCTATCGCTTCAATGTCTGGCAGCTCCTGCTGCTCATTCCTCACTGGAAATCAAACTGGCTCCTGGTAACATCACAGTCAGCTGTTACAGTGCAAGATATGACATTACCAGTAATTCCAGGTGGGGAAGAGAGGATTAAACAGGAACCCACAAGTCTGTAGGAGCCACCTCAACTGAGTCCTGGCTATAGGAGTACTATCAATGACAAGGGGAGTGACAAGAGCGCCTCTGCAGGAATGGAGAGACCCCACAACCCGACTAGGTCAAAGAAAGACAGAGGGATGAAGTGCTCAAAAACAGAGGCCGAAGGTGTCAGAGGAGTCCCACTCTCCCAGCCCCCTCCCTCACGCCACTAGCCAGTCACCTGTGAAGATGGTGAGCTCCCCTTTGCGGTGGCCTTTGAGGAGTTTGTTCAGCTCAGGGAAGCGGGCCCACCTGACCCCGGCCACCTGCTCCACGTTGGACAGCTCCCCAAAGACCTCGTCCCGCAGCTGGCGGAAGGAGATGATTGACTTGTGACCGGCAGGCAGGGCGGAACGGAGGATCTTGGAGAGGTTCATGCCGCGGGTGAAAGCCTCCAGGGGCCGGGGCTGCTGGTCACCGGGTCGCACCAGGGAGCAGCGCTTGGGGTTCAGTTTGCGGGCGAAGAGCTTGGCAGCCTCCCAGGAGCGGAAGTCTTCGCCCAGCCACAGGATGATGCGCTTGAACTGCTCTAGGTAGGGAAGCAGGGCTGGAGGCAGGCAGGTAGCCCCCCGGGGTAAGGACAAGCTGGGCAAGCCAGTAGCCTGGTACAGTGCCAGGGTGTCCAGCTCCCGGCCTGTCAGCACCACCTCTGTGTCTCTGCGGCCGATCAGGGGCAGCCCGAAGAGGTTGTGATAGGCACTCGGCCGCGGCAGAGTGTTCTCCACGTAACGTACCGTGTCCCCCTGGCACTCGGCCCCCAGCAGCTTCAGGCCCTTCAGGCCGGTGCCACGGGGGCTGAACCAGGGGAAGACTAGGGTGCGAGCAGCCCTCAGGTAGCGCACCCCAAAGCGTTTTAGGGTGGCGTCCGACACCTTGGAGATGCCGAACATGGCCTTGGCCGTCCGAGTCTCCTCCTCATCCAGCAGCTCCCAGAGCGGCAGGGCCCGGTCCCAGATATGGCGGGCATCCTCCCCAGTCTGGTCCACCCAGTCAAGCTGCTCCAGGCCAGCATGAGGGACTCCTTTGTGCTTCAGCTCCACGCTAGCCTGGAAGTCCTGCCAAGTGCCCTCGGCCAGGGTGGCCGTGCACACGAAGCTGCCCGTGGTCTTGTCGATGAAGAGGCTGTAGCGGGCGCTGCCAGTGGGGGGCTGCTGCTGCTCTCCCGGCCCCTCCACGAAGAGGCTGGGCACATGCAGGCAGCTGTAGCCGTCGTGGAAGGAGATGCCCTGGGCTCGCAGGTACTGGCGGATCTCGGTGATGGTCACGGGCGGGATGGGGCCCTCGGAGGCAGGGAGTGTCTCCTTCTTGTAGTGCCGCTGGGGGGGGCCAGCGAGGGCCCCCAGGCTCCGCGGGGCTCCCCGGCCCCTCGCCCAGCTGGCGAGCACAGAAAGCAGGCGCAGGGGGGCTCTGGAGGGGGGCACCCCCATCATCCCACTGGGGCCAGCCTCCAGCACAGGGTGCCCCAAGTTCACCTGGCTGCCCCCGGCAGCCCCCCCTTCGGAGTCTCCCTGCCCCCCGGCAACCCTCCCTTGGAGTCTCCCTGCACCCCCTCTCACCTCAACCCCCTCCTGCCCCCCCGTCAGCCCCCCCACGGAGTCCCCCTGCCACCTCAACCCCTCCTGCCCCCCTGGCAGCCCTCCCACGGAGTCCCCCTGCCACCTCAACCCCTCCTGCCCCCCCGGCAGCCCCCCCGCAGAGTCCCCCTGCCACCTCAACCCCCTCCTGCCCCCCTGGCAGCCCTCCCGCAGAGTCCCCCTCTCACCTCAACCCCTCCTGCCCCCCCGTCAGCCCCCCCACGGAGTCCCCCTGCCACCTCAACCCCTCCTGCCCCCCTGGCAGCCCTCCCGCAGAGTCCCCCTGCCACCTCAACCCCTCCTGCCCCCCTGGCAGCCCTCCCGCGGAGTCCCCCTGCGCCCCCTCCCACCTCAACCCCTCCTGCCCCCCGGCAGCCCCCCCCGGAGTCCCCCTGCCCCCCCGGCAGCCCCCCCCCGCGGAGTCTCCCACCTCAACCCCTCCTGCCCCCCCGGCAGCCCCCCCGCGGAGTCCCCCTGCCCCCCGGCAGCCCCCCTCTGACCCGGCGCCCCTCCCCCCAGCAGCGCTGAGCCCGGTCCCGCGCCTCAGGCCGGCGCCCCCCGCGCGCCCCCGCCCGCTCCCGGGCCCCGCACGTGCAGCGCGGAAGGCGCCATCCTCCCCCGACCCCGGAACCACAACAGCCCGCGTCACTTCCGGGGCGGGGCCGGAGCCGGAAGAGCCGCTCGGCGCCATGACCGCGCGCGGGACTGCGAGCCGCTACCTGGGCAGCGTCCTGCGCAACGGGCTGGGCCGCTACGTGTGTCAGCTGCAGCGCCTCAGCCTGGCCTTCAGCCCCGGCGGGCAGACCTCGCGCGGGGCCAGGTGCGTCCCCCGCGACCCCTAGCCGGGGCGGGCAGAGCCCCGACCCCTGACCCCTGACCCCTGACCCCTGACCGGGGCGGGCAGAGCCCTGACCCCTCGACCCCTGACCCCTGACCGGGGCGGGCAGAGCCCCGACCCCCTGACCCCTGACCGGGGCGGGCGAGCCCCGACCCCCTGACCCCTGACCGGGGCGGGCAGAGCCCTGACCCCCCGACCTCTGACCCCTGACCGGGGCGGGCAGAGCCCTGACCCCCCGACCCCTGACCTCTAGCCTGGGAGCGGGCAGAGCCCTGACCCCCGACCCCTGACCCCTGACCGGGGCGGGCAGAGCCCTGACCCCCCGACCCCTGACCCCTGACCGGGGCGGGCAGGAACCCTGACCCCCCGACCCCTGACCCCTGACCGGGGCGGGCAGGAACCCTGACCCCCCGACCTCTGACCCCTAGCCGGGGCGGGCAGAGCCCCGACCCCCCGACCCCTGACCCCTGACCGGGGCGGGCAGAGCCCTGACCCCCCGACCCCTGACCCCTGACCCGGGCGGGCAGGAACCCTGACCCCCGACCCCTGACCCCTGACCGGGGCGGGCAGAACCCTGACCCCCCGACCTCTGACCCCTAGCCGGGCGGGCAGAGCCCCACCCCCGACCCCTGACCGGGGCGGGCAGAGCCCTGACCCCCGACCCCTGACCCCTGACCCGGCGGGCAGAGCCCCGACCCCCCGACCCCTGACCGGGGCGGGCAGAGCCCTGACCCCCCGACCCCTGACCCCTGACCCGGGCGGGCAGAGCCCCGACCCCCCGACCCCTGACCCCTGACCGGGGCGGGCAGAGCCCTGACCCCCCGACCCCTGACCCCTGACCGGGGCGGGCAGGAACCCTGACCCCCCGACCCCTGACCCCTGACCGGGGCGGGCAGGAACCCTGACCCCCCGACCTCTGACCCCTAGCCGGGGCGGGCAGAGCCCCGACCCCCGACCCCTGACCCCTGACCGGCGGGCAGAGCCCTGACCCCCCGACCCCTGACCCCTGACCCGGGCGGGCAGGAACCCTGACCCCCCGACCCCTGACCCCTGACCGGGCGGGCAGGAACCCTGACCCCCCGACCCTGACCCCTAGCCGGGGCGGGCAGAGCCCCGACCCCCGACCCCTGACCGGGGCGGGCAGAGCCCTGACCCCCCGACCCCTGACCCCTGACCCGGGCGGGCAGAGCCCCGACCCCCCGACCCCTGACCGGGCGGGCAGAGCCCTGACCCCCCGACCCCTGACCCCTACCCGGCGGCAGAGCCCCGACCCCCCGACCCCTGACCCCTGACCGCGGGCAGACTACCCCCCGACCCCTGACCCCTGACCCCTGACCGGCGGGCAGGAACCCTGACCCCCCGACCCCTGACCTCTAGCCTGGGAGCGGGCAGGAGCCCTGACCCCCCGACCTCTGACCCCTGACCGGGGCGGGCAGAGCCCTGACCCCCCGACCCCTGACCCCTGACCGGGGCGGGCAGGAACCCTGACCCCCCGACCCCTGACCTCTAGCCTGGGAGCGGGCAGGAGCCCTGACCCCCCGACCTCTGACCCCTGACCGGGGCGGGCAGAGCCCTGACTCCCCGACCCCTGACCTCTAGCCTGGGAGCGGGCAGGAGCCGTGACCCCCCGACCTCTGACCCCTGATCTCTATCCGGGGCGGGCAGGAGCCTTGACCCCCCGACCCCTGACCTCTAGCCTGGGAGCGGGCAGGAGCCCTGACCCCCGACCTCTACCCCTGACCGGGCAGGCAGGAGCCCTGACCCCCCGACCCCTGACCTCTAGCCTGGGAGCGCAGGAGCCGTGACCCCCGACCCTGACCCCTGACCTCTAGCCTGGGAGCGGCAGGAGCCCTGACCCCCCGACCCCTGACCTCTAACCTGGGAGCCAGGAGCCCTGACCCCCACCCCTGACCTCTAACCTGGGAGCGGGCAGGAGCCCTGACCCCCCGACCCCTGACCTCTAACCTGGGAGCGGGCAGGAGCCCTGACCCCCCGACCCCTGACCTCTAACCTGGGAGCGGGCAGGAGCCGTGACCCCCCGACCCCTGACCCGGGCGGGCAGGAGCCCTGATCCCCCGACCCCTGATCTCTATCCGGGGCGGGCAGGAGCCCTGACCCCCCTGACCTCTGCACTTTGACCTTTAGCCCGGGAGCGGGCAGGAGCCGTGACCCCCCCTGACCCCTGCACTCTGACCTCTAACCTGGCAGCGGGCAGGAGCCGTGACCCCCCGACCCCTAGCTGGGGCGGGCAGGAGCTGTGACCCCTGACCTCTAGCCGGGGTGGGCAGGAGCCATGACCTCCGACCCCTGACCTCTATCCTGGGCGGGTAGGAGCTGTGACCCCTGCACTCTGACCTCTAGCCAGGGCAGGCAGGTTCTGTGACCCCTGCACTCTGACCTCTACCCTGAGGGGGAGGTATGTACAGGCAACCCCTGACCCCCAGGCACTCTGAGCACTCACGAAGGACAGATTAAGATCTGTGCACTAAGCTCCTACTCCCTGCACTCAGACCTTTCATCCTGGCTCCCGTGTCTCACTCAGCGGGCTGCTAGGTGCCAGGTGGGTGGTCCCTACGTCAGGGGAGCACACCTGTACCCTGACTCCTTCTGTAAGGTGGGTCATAGAGCTCACATATAGGTGGTATAGTACTGACCCCTCACCTCTGATTTCTCCCTGCTTTTTTGTTGTAGAGGCTACATAGAAGAGAAGGTGTTGGACTTTGCCAAGCAGAACCCTGGTGTGGTGGTGTATGTGACCCCACAGAAATGCAGAAGTCCCACAGTGGTCGCAGAATATTGTGAGTATGAAACATGCTGCTTCCAACTTAAATGAAGGGGAGACTTGTTGAGAATTCCCCTGGTATTTAACAGTCATCCCGGAAAACGGGTTTTAAAGCATCACATTGGAGGGTGCTTCCTCCCAGATCAAAGAGACTTGCATTAAAGGGAAGAGCTGTATGAAGGTAAAAGATAACTTAATCCTCTTTGAAAGTGGAGTTAAACCAGAACTAGGCATTCTTACTTTAGAATAAGAGAGTCCACACATGGAATTATTCAGGACTAGCTAGAGTGCTTTAAATGTACATGCTATCTTAATCTGAATTAATTTTTAAGCACTGACAAGCCCCAGCTTCTAGACTTATGACAATGGACTTCTCTGGCGGTAGAGCTGCGAGTCTTTTGTGGATGGAGAAAATCAAACTCCACAAAGTAAAGCTATACCCAGACCAGACAGATGGCTGGATTGGGGGAATAAGCTCTTGGAAGTATAATGCAGTTCATATTGTGCTGTCAAAGTGCCCAAGAAAATGATAGCTTTTGTTAAATGGACACCCAGTTTAGTCATAGTCTGAAAATCATGCATCTGTTAAAGCAACAAAGAGAACTAACAAGAAACTAAAAGGAAGTTTGTGTAAGCTTGCTTTTGACAGCACGTATGCCTCATGTACTCCAGTTCCCCTGTTTGGGGTCTCCTGCAGCAGGAAAGAAGAGAAAAAAACAATTTAAAAATGTGATTGTAAGACCACAGCAGTTGGTCAGGACCAGATGTAGGACCTGAAATTATATTTAAATCAGCTTGAAATCCACTAGAGACAAGGTGTGTGAGAGAGTCTTTTACTGGCCTAATTTCTGCAGGTGGAGGAGACAAAGACAAGCTTTCAACCTACACAGAGATCAGCCCTGAAGAACAGCTCTGCGTAGCACAAAGGTTTGTCTCTTCCACCAACAAAAGTTGGTCCAATAAAAGTTATTATCTCACCCACCTTGTCTGTCTCATTTCCTGGCAGGTGCGTGGTTATAGCAACACTGCTAATTTGAAATCTAGGCAGTTTCAGTGGGCTTTTAACATCTTGCCAGGGAAGTACTACCTTAGCATCGCAGTACGGCTTCTGAAGGGTAGGTGGTGCTGTCTCCCTGAATAGATTTCTCAGATGCACAAATAAGACAAAAAGCAGAGTAAAGAACTGTATCTGGAGAAGAAAATGCAAAGCACTCAGCATTTTGCTGTGGACAGAAAGGCTAGAGAGGCATTGATGTGATCACATGTGGAAATGCATTGATCTGAGACATGTCCTCTTAGAATCAGCTCTTGCTGGCAGTAGGTTATTGTTTGGCAATTCAGAGCTTGGAGTAGCTGTACAGAAAGTCACTTCTGCCTCTGAGTTTTGCTCACTGGAAATGGTGAGATCATTGCACAGTGCCCCCAAGCAGCTAGGTTGCTGGCAGAAGACAGGACCCTGTCCCAAAGTGCTTACAGGCTGAATGATGGACTAGACAGACAAGGGAGGATATAACACATGATAAGAAGGGACCCAGGCTGCTGAAAGAGGATCACTCAGTTTAGTTGCTTAGATGATCTGGCGAGGAGAGCCCTGTTAGCACTTGATCAGATGGCACAGTCGGTCACACCTGGGGCGGGGGAGGGAGGGGTAAGTATTTCCTTGTAGGTGATGCAGCAGAAGCAAGTTTTGAGGAGTGATGTGGACCAGGGGAGGGCAGCCATTTGCCCAGGAGGTTTCTGAAGGGAAGGGTATCCCAAGCCGTGGGGACAGATGGACATGGTAGAGCAGCTATGGAGGCTGGGGTCACTGGGAGAGCAGAAAGGGGGGAGGGGATGCCAGCAGAGGTGTAACAAGGCCCTGAAGGCAAAGGGGGAGCAGTTTGCGAAGCCAGAGAAGTGGTTCGCAACGGGTGAGGGTGCAGGAGTAAGTGATGTTCAGGTGCAGCATTTAGGATGGGCTGGAGCAGGGCGAGGGGAGGAGGTAGATGTAATTGGGAGAGGGGTAGAGGAGGGGGCTGGTCACTTGGCAAATCCCTTTGCTGCTGAGCCCTGCCCCGATCAGGCTCCCCTTCTCCCACCCTGCTGGGCCTGCAGCCCCATGGCCAGTTGTCTCCTGGTCTCTGACTGAGGAAGCGTTCAAGAGCTCAGTGGTTTGGCTGAAGGCGATGGCTGTCTGCAGCCTGCGTGCAGCCCTGTTCCTATTCAGGAGTGCCATAGCATACTCCCGTTAGCCAGGCTGCCACCCGGGCATCACACAGAGCATGGCTATCCCAGCTGGCAAACCCAAGCAGCTCTGTAAGGATCAGCAGTTGTCTTAAAGTGCAGTTTCCTGCTGGTGCTTTAACCCTCCCCATGCCCGCCAGGGAACTCCCTTCCCCAGCCCTGCGTCCCCCTGCCCGCAGAGCGGGCTCTGAACACCGGGAGCGATTGGAAGAGAACTGGGCTGTCCTCGCCAGGACAGTCTGACACCAACTGAGTCCCTGCACATGCTTCTCCGAGTGGAGCTGAAACCTGCCAGTGCCGAGCTACAGGAGAACTCGCCCCTTCTTGTCCTCCAGCCTGCCCCCTCCTCAGGTCTCTGGCAGGCTCCTGATGGGAGCGCGTTACCCGGCTGTGTTCCATTCACTGAGCACTCGTTAAGATCACTCCCATCCTGGAGAAAGCCAAGGCCTCTTCTCCCAGCAGCAAAGGGGTTAATTGGCACAAGTGCCATTGACTCTCCATAACTGGTGGGAGGGTCTCAGGAGAGACCCCTGGCCCTGGATCTCCCGCATGGGCCTTGCGGCACATTCTCCCCTTGGTCAGGCTGGAGTGGGGCTGTTGGGTTCAGCGCAGGGACGCGGGTGTTGTTACAGGGAAGCAGGAGTCCTTTGCTGGCCCTTCAGCTGAATGTTTCCTGTCTGGCTCTTCGTGAGGTGCCAGAGCACCGATCAAAAATCGTGCCCAGTGCAAGGGCCGCGGCTACCTGTCAGCCCATCCTGACTGACGCCTCTGAATGCCGCTGGCAGGTGTATTGAGGCCAGCAGTCCTGCAGCCTGTGTGCAGCGAGCTGGCGGGGTCTCAGCTTGGGGGCCAGCTGCCTGCACCGCCCCCAGCGCTATCGCAGCGCTCCCTAAGACAGCTGAACCCACGCCGGAGCCCTTTAGCCGGGAACGGGCCCATTCAGAACCGCTCTCCGACGCTCCGCAGAGGCAAGGCGCCTTGGTGCAGGGAGAACCTGCCCTGCCGCTAGCTGGAGCTCTCCTGTTCGGTTCCCCCCCCCGGCCGGCGCAGCCCCTTTCAGCAGCACAGCCAGAGAGCTGAGCAGAGGGGGCTGCGGAGGGATTTTAAAAATCAGGCCATGAGGAACCGCAGGACATTCTAGCGCACGCTCGCGGAACGGGACCTGCCACTGCAGATCGCATCACGCTGGGCTAAGAATAGCGGCTGCCCCTCTTCCCAGCTTGCACAACAATCGCCCCAGGGTCTGGCAGGAAGGGGGCTTGCCTGGGCGTGGGTTGCGTTGATTCCCTGGGAGGGCTAGGCACGCAACTGGTGGGAGGCGAGAGAAATGAAGACGGCCCCCTTGCTGTGCTGTGCCAGCATGGAGACACACTGAGAGTATCGAGAGAGGGGCCTTCCTGCTGAGCTGCCGGGAGCACGGGCCCTGTTATTCCTGCGGGGGCTTGATGACGCATGCAGCTGACAAGATGCAGATCCTTGTGCCTCTCACTGGGGGCAGAAGCCAGACGCCCCCTCAGCCTGAAGCTAGCTTTCAACTACCTGAAGGGGGGTTCCAAAGAGGATGGCTCTAGGCTGTTCTCAGTGGTAGCAGATGACAGAACAAGGAGTGATGGTCTCAAGTTGCAGTGGGGGAGGTTTAGGTTGGATATTAGGAAATACTTTTTCACTATGAGGGTGGTGAAACACTGGAATGCGTTACCTAGGGAGGTGGTAGAATCTCCTTCCTTAGAAGTTTTTAAGGTCAGGCTTGACAAAGCCCTGGCTGGGATGATTTAATTGGGGATCGGTCCTGCTTTGAGCAGGGGGTTGGACTAGATACCTCCCGAGGTCCCTTCCAACCCTGATATTCTATGAGAAGCGTAGGAGTCTCTCCTGCATCCCCCTCCGAGGGGTAGCTGGGTGGGAAGGACAGAGGAGTCTGGCTTGCAGCCACGTGCCCAGACCTACAGCTAAGCAGGCGTGGATCAGGGCAATATTTCGACTGCCAAATTCCAAATGGGGAGGGTGACCTACCGCCCCAAGCCCCCTGTAGTTTAAATTGTTTCTCCTTTGCATCCCATCCTCAAGTGTTGTGTACTGTTGCAAACAGCTGCCATGTTCCACCCCAGAGGTGGCTGCATTTCAGTGGGGGAGGGGGTCAGAGTCCATGTAGCTCACATTGGGGTCCCTTTAAATGAGGCGCTGCAGACGTGTGCTTTATTACTAGCCTTGCCACTGCATTTCTTTTGCACCCCAGGCCTTCAGAGACCTCCATGCCGAGCGTAGCCTGCGTGTCCGGCGATAAGAGCAGGTCTGGGCTAACTCCCTGGGCTCTTCTCTCTCCTTCCAGTGAACGGAGCAGTGAGGGAAGAGATCATCGCTGACAAGACAGTGGCTGAGATAACGCAGCTGGTCCAGAAGCTGGCCAACCAGTCGGGGCTGGAGATCATTCGCATCCGCAAGCCCTTCCACACAGACAACCCCAGCATCCAGGGCCAGTGGAACCCATTCACCAACAAGCCGAGCACCCTCCCAGGGCAGAGCCTGCGCAGACTGGAGCAGCAGCCTAATAAAGTGTGACCTGCTGGAAAGAGTGTGACCAAGCATTGTGTGTGTCGGGGTGGGGGGGAGGGGGAACAACACTCCTCTCTGGTTCAGATCCAGGGATCCATGGGTTAAATACTTCTGAGAAGTGTCAGCCATTGACCCAGCCCATCGTTAATAGTAACTCTTGGCACTACAGGGGCCTTGCAACTGAACACCTCCAAGTACTTAAACCCCCTGGGATGCAAAGACCCCTTATCCCACCTTGCACATGGGGAAATAGAGGCATAGAGAAGGGAGGAGTCTTGCCCTGGTCACTCAGCAGCAAGTAGAACCGGGAGTCCTAATTCCTGTTGTGTCTAGTAGTCAGCTGCCCTGTTCCACCCCAGAGACAGCTGCATTTCAAGGGGAGAGATCTCTACCCCGAGTCTGTAACGCCCCAGGGGATCAAGGAGCTATGGGAGGCAGCTGTTCTTTCAGTCCCAGCCCCCACACTCACCTTCACAAAGTCCCGAACTTTCCTCCCATCCTAGCTTTAAGGCCTTGCAGCGTTACCTCCCAGGCCTGGGCCCCTGGTGGGCTGTTCACGGGGGGAATAAACGAAGCGTTTCTTCTTGAGGGGGGTTTCAAGTTCCCAACGGATGTGGTTGTCCCCCCGCTTGCCCTGGGGGCATTCCACCGCCAGGCCGTTCCGCCTGATTCTCCACGCTGCTTCGGTGGGTCTGCTGCCGATTTCCTGCAGCAGGAAGCAATGAGCAGCGTTTCTCGCTGTGATGGGGAGATCTGGCAGGCCTTCAGAGCAACGGCTGCCCTCCCCCCCCGAAACACGGCCAGATGAGGAGCAAAAACTCAGGTCCTGCTGCAAGGCTGGTGCGGCTCTGGAGAAAACCCGGGGGGGGGGGGGACCCTGATCTTCAGCCCATGGAAGGGGGGAAGGGGTGGACTGCAGGGACCTGGAGTCAGACACAGCCAGGTGGTAGATGGCCAGCTGTTCACCAGGGCTCCCTCAACCCTGGCTGACTGGAAGGTGGGTGGATGAGGGGGCTCTGTCCCAGGGGAAGCCCCCCGCGATTGGCCTAAGGTGGGAGGGTGTTTATGCACCTTGGAGGGGATTTCCTGCCAGCGAGGGGCCTGGGCTCAGCAGCCCTGGGGTAGGAGAGTTGGGTTGCTGGCAGAGCAGGATCCGTAGTAGCCAGTTCCTCCCCACGCTGGCCCTGCACCGCGTGGGGTCTCTGTGACCCATTCAGCCCTTGGCCAGTCGGCATGAACAGAGACGGGGGGGGTGGGTTCTGCCACACAAATGGGGCAGGGGCCACCACCCACCCACCAGCCCTGAGCGGTGCCAAGGACATGGACCCTGCAGTCCCCTCCCGGGCCGGGGCAGGCTGTACCACACTTCCCTGACAGTCG